CCTGTGATCATTAATCTCCACCTTATATCGAGCGTGTTAAGTTGCCCTGGAGACAAACCTCTGGGCATTGTCAGTAAGGGTGTTTCAGAGGAATGTAACTGAGTTAGGAAGATGGCTTTGAATGTGAGTGACACCATTTTGTGGGCTGAGGTTCTGGAGTCAACAGACAGAAGAAGGGAGGAAGTTAGCGGAGTACCAGCATACAGTTTTGTTTGCTCTTTGACTACAAACAGATTGAGACCAGCTGCCTCACCTTCCTACCACAATTCTGTCTATGCCACAAGGGGATATAGCCTCAAACTGTAACCCCAAATAAGTAAGTCCCCCTTCTTGAACTGTTTTTGTCAGATATTTGGTGACAACGGTAAGAGAAGAACTCAGGTATCTCTTTAGGCTTGTCTCAGGTTCTCTTTACTTTCCTTGTTTTGACGAATGCAGCAATTTTAAGTGCTCCTTAGAACTGCTGTGGTCAGGACAATGAATAATTATTCTGTTGAATGTTCCTCTATTGAAATTCATGTTTTTCAGCCAGGTGTGATGGTGCAGGCCTGTAATCAGCACTCAGAGAGGTAGAGGCAGGTAGATCTCTGTGAGTTTGAGACCAGCCTGGTCTACAAAGCCAGTCCAAGACAACCAAGGCTATATAGAGAAACCCTGTCTCAAAAAACAAAACAAGATAAAACAAAACAACAACAAAAAAGAAAGAAAGAAGAAAGAAAGAAAGAAAGAAAGAAAGGAAGGAAGAAAGAAAGAAAGGAAGAAAGAAAGGAAGAAAGGAAGAAAGAAAGATGAAAAAGAATTTCATGTTTTTCTTATGGGTAAGCTAGGCCTGTGAATTCTTAGGAGTAGGATCACGGAGGGTAAGCCTCTTTTCTCATCACATTATATTAAAAATATACAGTTCTCAGGTTGTTGTACCCAGATTGCCAGACCCCAAAAGACCACCAGTAGTCGAGTCCGGTGAAAAACACATGAGGATCTTTTTATTACAAGCTCGAGCCCAGGTCACAGCAACCTCCCTGCTGAAGAGGAGGAGGGTGGCCCGAAGGTCTAGGGGAACAAGGTTTTTAAAGGGAAAAACCACAGGCAGGGAATTACATGCCTTGGTGTTACATGATTGGGTAAGGAAAACTGACTTTTGAAATGATTGGTTTACTTTAGGTTTCAAGACCATGAACGGTTCTGGCCTGGCCATTTGGATTGTTTTCCTAGCAACTGTACCTCTAGTGGGCAGGAAAAGAATGCAGTAAAGCTAGTTCCTCTCCCCAGGTGGTTGGACATGTCTCAACCTGGCTGGCCTTTGTTCAGGCTTGTGCTTTAAACTTTAAGCCAATACCCCAAAAATCTAATTTTTAAATTCTCTGGTCTCTCAAGGTGTCCATTCCATCACCACCTGGCCCTCATGTGAGCTTAGAGTTTCTCTGCTGTGGTTCCTTCCTTATTACATGCAGTCCCAGAAGGTCACTAAATCTTATGTGGAGGACATTACCTATGTCAATTATTTGTAATTCTTCTGCATGGGAAATTTGTCTTTCATTCCCCATTTGCTTATCCAGTCATTTCTTTACATCAATATGGATCCACGGACATCAACTTCTACTTGTGCTGCTCAGATTATCCCAGCTCTGTCCACTGGGAGTTCTTCTACAGTGGACCTTGGTGTTGCCATTGTTGTTGTTTCTTTTGTGTGTGTGTGTGTGTGTGTGTGTGTGTGTGTTTTTAATTTGTTTTGTTTTGTCTTACCTAAGCAATGACTTGTTTCCTGGAACTAACTGTACGACGCTTCAGGCTCATCTTGACTATCTGCTGGCCAGGCTGAGAATAAACCACTGTTAAATCCGAAATCACCCTACAGAGACATATGCAATTGGCAAGAGTGTTTTTACTTTGAGAGAGCAAGAATCCTGTATACAGGGGTCAGCCAAAATGACCACCACAAGAGGAGCCCGCAGATTCCTTTTAAAGCCAGCGAGGGGATTTCTGGCCGAGGTTAGGTAATCCTTACCAGGATCAGATGGGTTCATGGTGAGGGATACTTGTGTGTTTCTGATTGGTTCCAACCTTAGGGAAGGAACAGTCACCTCAAATAACCCCAGACTAGATGTTGGGGCACTTGCTGATTGGAACTCATCAAGCAGGAAAAAGGAAAAAGGGAAGGGTGTCAAAAATTTTGGCCCAGCTTTGGACCCAGTCTCAAAATGAAGTTAGTTGGCCAGGCATGGTGGTGCACGCCTATAATCCCAGCATTCTGGAAAGTAGAGGCAGGCAAATCTCTGTGAGTTTAAGGCCAGCCTGACCTACAAAGCAAGTCCAGGACAGCCAAGGCTATACAGAGAAACCCTGTCTCGAAAAACCAAAACAAAAAACCAGAACAAACAAACAAACAAACAAACAGATAAATAAATAAATAAATGAGTTAGCCGGGTCCTCTCACCATTTCTCCTACGGATGGTAGCTTTCATTGCATACTGAAGTTTGAAACTGAAACATCCCAAAAGCTTATGTATTTTTAACAGCTGGTCCCAGGCTGGTAGCAGTATGTTTCAGGAAGGTCGTGGGCCCCTTAGGAGGTGGATATGGATTATTGGAGGTGGATCTTAAAGAGCTGTAACCCTCTCTGTTTCTGGTGTAGTTCTCTGTTTCTTGGTCCTGACGCTATCCCAACCCATGGAACTACTGTGCCTGGCCTTCCCTGCTCTGGTGGGCTGTACCCTCTGAAACTGTGACTCAAACTACATCCTTCTTTCTTTAAATGGCTTTTGTCAGGTGTCTTGTCACTGCCAGGAGAAGAGATACCAAATCACTTAGTGTGAAACGAGATCCCAGAGCTGGATAGAAGCTGCACATTTTTCTACAGTAAAATAAATGTGGACTGGGCATGTAGCTCAGCGGCAGAAAGCTGCCATACATGGGTAAAGCCCTCAATTTCATTCCCAGTACCAGAAACAAGCAATTAAACAAACCCACAATTGGGCTGTAGAGGATCATACCTGTAATGTCTGCATTTGCCTCAGGAGGCTAAGCAGGAAGATTTCTGACTTTAAGGCATACCTGAACTACACTGCCAGACTCTGTCACCAAAACACACACCAAACCCTCTAGTCCTTTTCTTCCTGCTCTTTGGAGGTGGTCACACTGATCTTCCTTGGGTAGGTACTAGGCTGGGTCAGGTAGGCACTGATGAAACAATTACATTAAATGCTCAAAGACCAAAAAAAAAAAAAAAAAAAAGTGAAAGTACAGCTGCACAAAGATTGTGTCAACTATGAGGACGGAGACCAACCAGTAAAAAAATGAGACAGGATGGCTTAAGCCTCAGGAGTTGCTGAGGAAGCTGTGAAGGCTGACGGGGAAGCAGTCGGTGGGGGAAGACAGAAAAGGAGCACTCCCATGCCCATGATCACTGCATTGGGACAGCCTAGGTGCTGCTGTGGAATGGCAGCAAGGCCAGCTTGACAGAGGTAAGGAGTATAAGCCAGGAAGTTGGTTTGACGAGCCAGCCTCTTTAAAGCAGGGCTGGGTAGAGTTCAAGGTGGAGTCTGAAACAGCGCAAGACTGCTCTAAACAGTTTTCTAGACACAGGGAGTTAACAGAGCATTATGTGTTTTCTGAATGTTGAGACTGTCGGGAGAAGTGTGGTTTCTGGCAGCCCCAGATAGTAGGAAGGCTGCCTGGGATCAGACCTTGTAGCTTATCAGCTCTCTGCCCTAAGTCTGCAGGCCCTTAACTCATTTGTACCCTTAAAGGCCCTGTGGAGAGAGATCTGTAATAATTAATTGTTCTTATCACCTAGTGTGACACCACCACTCCCCCCACCATATCCAGGACTTTCTGGAACAAACAAAAAGTGGTACACAGCCTGAGTTGGGGGGGAGGCCTGAATGAAAATGAGTATCCATTCAGCTAAAATATCTTGTGTTCTGGGGCCAACCTGGCCAACTGGACATTGCCCCCAAGAAAAGCCAAACACGGAGAAGCACTACATAACGGCCATTACCATAACTTTGGCCTTCAGTGTTCCCCCCCCTCCTCGCCCAGTATAAAGGAGGTAGTATTGTAGACGTCACTGCCCAAGGGCTTGGGGCCTGTTGAGTGGGTCGGCTTCACTGAGAGCCTAGGAACAGCTCAGAGGCCAGCATCTAATGCTTTTTCCTCTGAGGTAGTGAGGCTCCCATGTCTGCGAAGCCCTAAGTGGGCCGGAGGCTAATCTTGCTGCAGCTTGCTGGATCCGGGCGCCTCCGGACCCCAGTAGTTGGCGGACCAAAGTGGAGATCTTTGCTCATCGCCCCACTTTCTCAGCTCTGGGCAAGGGCCAGGACAGCTCAGTTAAGCAGCGAAGCGTTTGATGTGGCCGGGAAGTGTCCTCGAGGTCGTTGGCACTGCAAAGGAGACCTTAGCTGGCACCTTTTTCTTGTAAATTCTAGGTCAGGCCCCTTGTGCAAAGCAGATTCCCCGGGGAGAAGCGACCAAGCTTCGAGCTCCCACCCCGCCCACTCCAGCATCCTGGGGTACATTCATTTGAAATGCTAATATTTTGAACCATCTCTCTTCTCCCAGTTGCCGAGCTTCTACTAGAAAGCAGGCTAACGCCTTGAAGAGATTAAAGAACACACCGCCTTTGGCTCGGGCAGGAAGCGCCAAACATCTGTTGACCTAAAGGAGCGAGGCAGGTGTTTGTAGACAAATGAGGGTAAATTATTGCAGAGTCCATAGCCCAGACCGCTCGCTTTAATGTCTCCTTTGTGCACTGATTTTTCAGAGCTGAGGTTTTCCGGGTCCACTGACCCTTATTTGCACCGGTCCCTGTCACCCTCCCATCCGGGACAGCCAGCAGTTTGGTCTCCAGCCTCTGGGCAGCAGGGCAGAAAGCAGGTCGCAGGTGGAGGGTGGATGGGGTGATCCAAATTCAAGTCCCGCCCAGGTCGCCGGTCCCGCCTCCCAGAGCGGAGTTGGGTGGTAGCCAAGGCGCCCTGGGGATCCAAAATGTGACACCGCGTCAGTCTCTCTCTCTCTCCCTCTCCCTCCCTCTCCTTCTTCCTCTGCCCCTCTCTCCGTCCACTTCTCCCTCCCTCTCTTTCCCCTCTCCACTTTTGGCTTGAGTTTCTTTGCCCATTTTTGATAGTTTGTCGACTTATTGCCAAAATTATCAAGTCAGTTTACTTGCCAAGTCCAGCTGCTAGCTCTGGTAACCCGCGAACACCTTGGGAGCTGCTGACACTCTGCCAGGCCTGTCCCAAACCTTTCAAAGAGATTAACTCCGGAGGAGGAGACAGAGGTCACGTCTTGCTGCTTTCTAGAAGCGGTCCAACACTTGTTCCTCATTTGCCTCATGGAATGAGAGTACTAAATTGGGGCACACTTCCTGGTTGGATATGGTTTGGAATTTCGCAGACGGACAGCCAAGGACCCTGAATTTCCGAGCGCTGGAGCGGGCTGCACGGCATAGCAGGCTTCCTCAAGGTTCTGGAACGTTTCCAGGTTTCCCCAGATTCTCCAACTTCTGTGTTCTCTAATCCACTCACTTCTCCAAAGAAGCACTTCCTTATCTTCCAAAAGTGTTTGCCTCACACTGGGAAAACCCGATAAAGGAATGATCAGTTTTTAGCTTGTGCAGGCAAACCCCCCTCCCCGTACACAATGAAGTAAGTAATAGGACAGAATTCTTTCCCACTCTCCTGGGAGAGACCCCAAGGGACCTTTATAGGGCAGTTTGAGCTGGGAGGGTGGTGCATACCCAGGGATGGGGACTTATTGGGGAGGTTTTTGGGTTTTTTTGTTTTGTTTTGTTTTGTTTTGTTTTGTTTTGTTTTGTTTTCCTTCCAGCCAAAGGCTAGAGTTGCTCTCTGGAAAAAAACCGCAACCTGGAATATTCATAAACATTTCAGAGTCTCAGTTCCTCTCTTTTCCCTGTCTCTCTGGGCAGCTGAGAGAACTGGGGATGGTGACAAGCCAGTGGCACTAATTTTTCTGGGTGCTGTTGGAGGACTCAGGAAGCACGGTGGGAAAGCAGGATTCACTTCCTTGCTATGACAAAGGACTGTAGCCTCAAACTCAAAAGCCTGGCTTTGTGGGCCAGTGTTCTCAATCTTCCTAATGCGCAACCCTTTAATGCCTTGCTCATGTTGTGGTGGCCCTCAACCACAAATTGTTTTAGCTGCTATTTCATGACTGTATTTGCTATGTTTATGAATTGTGATGTATATATCTGTGTTTCCCCATGGTCTTAGGCAACCCCTGTGACAGGGTAGTTTGATAACCCAAAGGAGTCGTGACCCACAGCTGGAGAATTGCTGTTGTAGACTCTGTTCTCTTATCCTCGCCGCTTACAGACAAGCTGACCTCCAAGCCAGGCTGAACTTCACCTCCTCAATCTTTACTGCGTGTACAGAGGTCAGAGGACAATTTGTGTGAGTTGGTTATCTCCTTCCACCATGTGGATTCCAGGAAATGACCGGGCTCTGACCTTTTTCTTTAAACAAGCAGGAAAGTGTCAACCCTAATCCTCCTTCCTCTGTTAAGTGTCTTTGCCAGGTGGAATTAGTTGAATTCTGAGGACTTTGAGGGTTATAAATGTGACAGGCCTGCAGAAGAAGGCACAGCTTCTGGGAGGTGGATTGCTTGCTGCTGGTTCATCCTGCTGCTGCATTTGCTGTTTGCTGATTTGCTGGTTACCTGGACTTCTGGATTTCTGGATGACTGATATTTATTTTGGTATTGCCCCCAAAAGAATCCTACAACCCTACCCAGCAGGAAGTAGCAGAGAGAGCTCCACCCCTATCTCCACTATCACCTTCTTTCCCTCCTACCAATATTGAGGGTTTGGAAGGGAGGTAGACATATTTAATAACCCTAAATAAAGGAGGTTTGTTAAAGAATCAAGGTCAACAATTGTTCCTGCCTGGGTCGTTTCTGTTCCATCAGGCCAGCTCTCATGGCTATGTGCTTATGGTCCATGCTACCCTGTGGCGACTTCCTTCTCCCCAGCTTCCTCTCCCACCTCTCTACGTGGTCCTCATCTGAGCCCAAGCTGGGAATCTAAACTCTGCCTACTTCTGTCCAGTTACAGGCTTTTAGCTATCTTTATTAACTAATCAACTTTAAATCGGGGAACAAGGTTTAGACAACATCACTTAATGTACACGAGAATGTGCTCATCTGGACTGAAGCTGGATCTTGGGAGCCAATATTTAGCATTTGTATACATAGTACCAGACCAACCCCCAACACTGTCTCAAAAAAAAAATGGAAACAAAACAAACTTCAGGGCCTGGGACAACACAGGCTTCTCACCTCTAGAGACAGATAGACCTGGTTAAAACTCTGGCTCTTTCACCCTAACTTGATGGGTGGTCTTGAGAAAGTCAGTTACCTCATATTGAGTTCTTTAGGACTCTCCTTACTGAAATGGTACGATAAAACACTAAGCCCTAAGAAGATGATGGGATGCTGGTGACAGTGTCAGTGACAATTCAGAGAAATCTGCATTGTGAGTGGCAAAGAGACCTCAAACAGGCAGGCCTCTTCTTTCTTGATGAGAACAATACAAGTGCACCTGGGAGGTGGCTGGTCCTCTCACAAGCTCTCTGAAGTTCTATGGTGGCATGGGAGAAACCATGATGTCCCTGCTACTGCCAAACTGCTCAGTCCTTGCATCCTAGCTTGGGTGGGCAGCAGGCAGAGACAGATTGGCTTCTGAAGTGGGTGGCACCGCAGAGACCCCTAGCTGGAGCCACCTGATACATCCTTATTGCTGGAATCTTCATTCTGCTGCTGCTTCCAGCCTTGGGAAGCCCAAGCAGACCTTGGAAGTCAATTGCCTTGTGTTGCCTCTGATATCATCACCTCAAGGTTATCAATCCCTTCTACAACATTTTCAAGATTAATATATACATGTATATTGTACATCTATTGTATCCATTTTGCCCGTCTTTCTAGAAAGAGCCATATGTGACTGTAATGCCTTGTGCCTGGGTTTTAAAGATAGACCATATGGGGAAAAGATTACAGGATGATTGATTCACATAGAGTAGGCTGTGTGATCTAGGAAAAGGCATGGTAAGTGCAGAGGGGGAATGATGTTCTGGGCAGAGGGGACCGTAAGAATCCAAGCATGTCATCTTGATTCCTGAGTACTGTTTTATTGTCTGAAGTTGGATGCACAGAAAAGAAGGTGTCCAAGTTAACAAGCAACCATATAGAGTTATTTCTAGGCACAACCAAAAGTCATTAAAGTTCTGAGAGCAGAAGTGATTTGTCAATCATATGACTTTAAAGTATCATTCTGGGGGTTAAGGAAGGGTGAATTTGTTTTTTAAGAAAATGACTTTTTTAGTCAGGCTGATGGCACACACCTGTAATCCCAGGCAGAGTGCTAACAATTGTAGCAGGCAGAGTCATAAGGACTAGCACAAACTGTCTGAGTTCAGCCAGGGCTATACAGCAGGATCCTGTTGGTGGTTTTTTGTTGTTGTTTTTTTTTTATTTGTTTGTTTGTTTGTTTTTAAAGGCTTTTCTTAGAATGGTTCAATTATTTTTTTCCATTAAAATTTCATTCACTATTCTTTTCAGGTCAGTGAGTCATCAGCAGTCATATGAAAAGATAGGAAAATTATATATTTATTCACAGATTTTATTTTATTTTATTTTTTGTTGTTTTGAGACAGGATTTCTCTTCATAGCCCTGGCTATCCTGGAACTCACTCTGTAGACAGCTGGCCTTAAACTCAGACATTGTCCTGCCTCAACCTCCCATGTGCTGGGATTAAAGGCATGAGCCACCACCACCTGACCAGTTTTTTATTACTTATTTATTTATTTATTTACTATTTATACAGTTTTCTGCCTGCATGTACATCTGCAGGCCAGAAGAGGGCACCTGATCTCACTATAGATGGTTATGAGCCACCATGTGGTTGCTGGGAATTGAACTCAAGACCTCTGGAAGAGCAGCCAGTGTTCTTAACCCCTGAGCCATCTCTCCAGGTCAGATTTTATTTTTTGATACACAATAATCTGACAGAGTTATAGATCACAATGTGATAATTTGATATATGTATGAAATGTGTAATGTTCAAATCAACATAATTCATATTTCCAGCTCTTCTCAAATACTTAACATTTACTTGTGCTGGGAAATTTCAATTTTCTCTCTTCTCACTTTTTATATAAAAAGTCACTGTAAATAATGGCCACACATGGTTCTCCAGAGCACAGGCTCATTTTATCTAACTCTAAGTATCAGCTTGCCATCGATTCTTCTCTTATCCCCATCAGATGGCCATCCCCATCTGATGGCCACTGTTCTAGGAAATCAATGTGGTTTTTTTTAAAGGTTTATTTTTATTATTAAATGTGTGTGTGTGTGTGTGCGCGCGTGTGCATGTGCTGTGTTTATGAGAGCAGGTACCCGAAGAGGTCAGAGGCCTTGGATTCCCTGGAGCTGGAGTTATAGGTGGTTCCCACCATGGGTGCTGGGAACTGAACTTCCCAAGAGCAATCCGTACTCTCACTACTGAGCCATGTCAGTGGTCCTATGCAATCCACTTTTTAAGCTTCCTCATGAATGAGAACCTGAGGTATTCATCTTTCTGTGCCTCACATATTTCATTTATAATGTCCCCAGTTAGAAGGTTTAGAATCACAGAAAAATTAAGCACATAGTATACAGAGTTGCCACAAACCTCCCTCTCCTAGCCCCACTCCAAATTCTATCACTAACACAGCAGTGTGGTCTGCTCTTTTTAGCGAAGCAATACTATGTCTATAGTGAACACTAGAGTCAATCTGTGTGGTCCACAGTCCTACAGTTTTGACACATGTACCTGTTATAGCACTATAGAGAAAGCCACTGTCCTAGTCTCCTGTGTGGCCTGTACTCATCCTGCCTCTGCTCTCTCATTCCCAGCACGTGCTCTCACTCCGGCATGTTCTGTCATACAGCTAAAATCAAAATATTCAGCCTTGCACTTAGCCGGTTGCATTTAAGGTTTTGCTATGTCCTTCTATAGCTTTCCTATAAAGCCAGAGCTTTTCTGTGTAGCCCAGGCTAGCCTCAAATTTATGACAGCATGCCTCAAAAAACCTAAATAAATGAATGTGAAAATAACTTTAATAGAATACTGTTTCTCCCAATGCATCAAAATATTATCTTTACATTTAATCAGTGAGCAAATTTAAACAATTATCTATCTTTTTGCATCAAGCCCTTGGAATTTAGCATCATTTTACATTTTCAGCACACCTCAGGGCAGACTACACACATGTCCAGCTCTCAGTAGACATAGCTTGTGGCTGCCACACTGGACAATGGGGATGCAGTTTTGTGCTGGGTGCTGAGAACATGGCATAGATCAAACAGAAAGGACTCCATCCTCATACAGTGACATTCTAGTGTGGGAGATGGAGAAGGAGCCAGCAAATGCTTTTAAAGAGATTTATTAAGAAAAGAGTGAGAGCCAGGTGCGGTAGAGCACTCCTGTAATCCCAGCACTCAGGGAGGCAGAGGCAGGTGTTTTGCTGTGAGTTCGAGGTCAGCCTGGTCCAGGACAGCCAAGGCTACACAGAGAAACCCTGTCTCAAGGAAAAAAAAAAAAAAAAAGTATGTGAATACTGCCAAGAAACCTAAAGGCTGTTTTACACTGCCTGAGTAATCCAGAAAGCCCTGTGGCTGCAGAGACTTCAAATTAAATATGGGGAAATCACTGCTGGTTCACATTAGTGGCAGGTAACAAGGCATTCCAAAATTCCGTTTAGGACAAATGGTCACTCCTGTTCACGGGACTACAGGCCAGTGGGGCAGCTCTCAGTCCCAGGTGGGCTCATGCATGTACCGGGTAGCTGCAGGTCAGATAGGGTGGCTCTGTAGGTCAGCCTTGGGGCTTGCTCCCTGTTGATTGGAATAGGATGACTTCAGCTCTTTTCCATGTGGCTTCTCATTACCTAACAAGCAAGCCCCAACCTGTTCTGTGGGCAGAGGCAGCAGATCCGAAAGACAACGTGAAAGCCTTAGGCTCCTTCAGCCTCAAATGGGAAATGCATCACTTCTGGCCCTTTGTTTTGACTAAGGAAACTTACAGGGCCTGCATAGATTCCAAGAGGAACTGTAAAAAGAGTGACTACAGAAATGGTCAACAAATTCAGGCAATGTTCATTATCGGCCGCTTCAGTTACATTAATAGCTTTTGACTCCCCCAGCTGTGAAAATCCTAAACCAGGGCTGGGCATGACAGCTCAGTGGTGGAGAGCTTGCCTGGCATACATAAGGACCAGAGCTGGATCTCTAGTACCGCACACGTGAGAAAATTCTAAACTTCTATGTGCCCAACAAGATAAACTCAGAAAATAAAGGCAAAAACAGGACTAACCAGATGTTTAAAACAAAAACAAGCCTTAAAAGTCAAAGATTTTAAGGAATCTGTTGGGATTCAGACCCTGAACAAGAGGCTGAGGTTCTTATTTAACATACCAAAGCTGACCTGGTTCTCTCAGCATTGTTCAGTCCCTACCTGTTACAGGGCTTGGCTGGCACACCCTGCCCTCTGCCCTGAACTTCCAAGCCCAGGGGCAGGGCTTCATCTCCCCCAGAGGCTCTTTAGTATATAACCCAGACATTTTGGTTCCCTCTGTCCCTCTCCGCATTTCTCTCCCTTTGTGTGCATGCTTTCTTTCTCCCCTCACCCTTTTCTGTCTCCCTGTCTGCATGAAGACTTTCCTGGCCCCATTCCTTGGGACCAGTGAACCCACTGGAGAGCTGCTCCCAATAAATCTACCTTTATACTTTAATTTGGCTTGAATTAGCTCATTTAATTGGCAGAGAATACCTATCAGTATCTTTTGCAACTATTTTCCAAACAGACAAAAAATTAGTCAAGCTATA